GTAGAAATGGGACAGCACGTTGCAACATATCACATTACTGAGACAACACCAAAACATGTCCCTTACTATCGTGGATTTGAAACTTTCTATTTTAGGATAAGGTATTTTCTTCATGGTCAATGGACTTAAGAGATCAACTGCTTAATTTGATGGTGTGCATGAGAGTGGAGACCCAAACATTAAGAAATCCCTGCCTACCTTGAATGAATCCATTTTGATCATTCACAATCAATCCCAGTAACAAAGTTTCTAGACTTATAGCCAAAATATGAACTTGTACTTTTGTATCAGGATTTAATAAACTAATTGATGTAGTGTTTTCGCATGTATTACAAGGTTTTCCAAAGTTATTGTTACACCTCTTAAGGATCGGGTAAAATTTCTCTCTGAAAAGATACTTGAAATACATATCTAACAGTTGAGAGAGTAATTTTCAAATATATCAACTGATAGCCCCTCTGGTCCTACTGTTTTCCCCAGTACCATAAACTCAATTGCTTCAGAAATTTCTTGCATTGTTATTTATATTACAGATGTTCCATATAACATTCCTGAACATGGGTATTAAAAAGTATTCATTGCTATACAGTGAAGTATAGAATTTTCTAAACTCATTGATTTCTATGGGGTCAACTGTTCTTTCTTCATTGCTTTTTAATAGTTCAAAAATAGCTCACTCTGTCTGTAGTTGCTTCAGTTACCAGGCTAGTATTTTTCTTTGTTTATCCCCATGGTCATAAAATATCAAAATAAAAAAAAATGGTTCACCTGCTTCGGAAGCTGATAATTCATTATATTGAAGTTTTAAAACAAGTAAACACTTGTTCCAGATTCCTAATTTTTGCAATTAATAGCGTTACATACTTTTGTTTTTTCTTTTGCCCCCTTATGTATGCTAAAAAAGGCTTCCCATGCATTACTGCATGTGTATAAGTTGAAATTCAGACTTTCAGTTAAGAGAGTACCATGTAACACTAAATATCTCACTTTGTCTTCAGTTTTACAGTGTATTTGGAAAGGCACTGATTTTGTGAATGACAGTCATAATACCCCTTGCATGTACAGTATAGAGAACAAAGCTGCAAGGACCTGACCCTGCCATCCATCCATCCATCCATCCATCCATTTTCTGTAACTGCTTGTCCTATTCAAGGTTGCGGACTGATTCTTCTGTATTCTCCTAATTTTAACGTTGTACTCAGCCTTTTGTTCTGCTTATGGCCTGTTTTAAATTTTTGGAAGCCTTGTGGTTGATTTCCGAATAAAAAGCTCCAAACTCCTTCAGGATTTGTAAAATCAATAGACTTTTATTACAAAGTAAAGCCGTGTTGGTCCGCAGAACAGCCATTCCGATTACTCAGTTCATTCAGCTCAAACCCTTCACATCTCAGCTTTCCACTGTCACTTAAGGTGTGCCGCAGGGCTCTGGCCTGGGGCACCTCCTCTTTATTATCTACCTCCTTCCCCATGGCAATATCTTTT